AACACATTGGGTGAAGTGGAAATAAACCCTTCTAGTAATCTTGTATATGCCAAAATGCCCCTTCCCTTGTAAGTAACAGAAACTTTTATGACCTTCCTAAAGAAGGCCTCTGATTCTATGTTACTAACCAGTATGTTTAAGTGTAAGTGATTTAAGTGTTGTTGCATTTCATCTTTTGTTTTGGACCAAAACCCTGGACTGTACTTCCATATCAATTTACTTCTTGCAGTTATTTCAGAATTTTGAAGTCTAGAGTGCTTTAGGTGTTGGTATTTTTTTCTTTTTCATAATTTAGATGGTAGTCTTTTCTTTTTCATAATTTAGAAAAGATATAAAAAATTAAAAATCATTCAAAAATTATGAACCATGTAAGTTCAATAGTTATTAGAATACACTTTATGTCATCATGGCACTGAACTGGGATGCATGGTCCTAACATGTCTCAGGTACGAAGTCTTCCAGGAGAAGATCCTACCGCAATCTTTGCAACATATCTGCCTACGGTCATGCTTTCCTGCGTAATGTTCATCAAGGTTAAATTTGTGTGCAAACTCCTTATGGCAGATGGTACATGTGTGGGACTTCCTCTCACTGGCACACGATCTTCTGTGTCTCTGGTAACTTATTCTGTGCGAAAAAGTTTTGTGGCACTCTTCGCACTGGTAAGGTTTCAGTTTATAATGCTTGTTCATGTGCCCCTCATAATGCCAATTATCGAGAAATGATAGCTGACAGAGTTCACACTTTTTGGTACCTTTATCAGTATGCTTGATCTTTTGATGAGCCCTGTATCCAGACATGCTACTGAATGACTTGCCACACACCTCACAAACTTTCTGCTTGTTCTCGTGCTTAAAGTTAATGTGCTCAGTGAGCCGTGTTCTCTCGTTGAACGATTTCCTACAGTACTGACAGGTAAACTTGTCGTCTTCGTTTCCATGTCTGCGCTCATGGCGTTTCAGGGAATACCTGTTGTTACACGTGAAATTGCAGAATCTGCATTTTAGAGGCTCCTTTTTTGTTGGCACAGCTTTAGGGTCCTGGTTCCCCTTTTGCACCTGGGCTTGTCCAGGCTGACCAGGGCTTTGTCCACTGCCAGAAGAACCTTGTTGGTCTCCAATCTTTACTCGCATACTAGAAGAATCTGAAGCTGTGGGCAGGTCTCTTCTAACACGAGGTGCATTCCACAAAGAAGGGGATTCTTCTCTTTTTGACGCAAGTGGTGGACTGGTTGGGAAGCCCATGGCAAATTGAGGAACACCTGCAGGAAAATTTGGCATGTTCCACCCAAAACTCTGCTGTCGCCCATGTGTTAAACCAGAGAGCCACGGAGCCACAGGCCATGCAGTGCTGACCTCTACATCTGTATTGGGAAGGCGGCCACCATGACTATAATTAAGAGGAGAAGAGAGTTGCTTTAAGACCTGATTCATGTGGCAATTTGGTGGGGAAAATGCTCAGTTCTACTATGCTCACAACTTTATCACATGGTTTTGAATATTTTGCTAATAGTTGGTGTTAATTTTTTCTTTTTGCATTTCAAAAATAACATACACAAACCAATACAGAAAAAAAAAAAAAAACATTAAATACTAGTGAAGTGTAACTTTCAAATATAAATGAAAAAAATCTGCATTGGTAAATTAATGAAACAAAGTTTTCTTAATCATCATTAAAAATATTGTATTTTCTTCATGGTCCTTATTCTGACCAGTTTTCTTTTGCAGATCTCAAAATTTAATTTTTGTCAACAATCAAGGAAAAATATAAAACTATAATCATATATCAACTTCCACCAAATATGCACACAAGGTCTTACACTACATGCAACTCCATCCACCTATTAATTTTCCATGTCATGTAACAGTTTTTTCCATAAAAACAAATGGCAGTTTTACTCTGTAGATTTGTGATTGATACAAATATCTATTTAATATGTACCAGTGATGATATATCATACAGCATTTTGTACATATTTACACAACAATTTTGTTCTCACACTATCATACAACCAAGGCCAAAATAATTACTTGTGAGAGAGGCACAGCAACATGTATGTTTCCACAGTTAAGCATAAAATCAGTAACACCAACACAGAAGCTATTTTTTTTCTGTAGATGTACATATTTTTAAAGGTGTGTTCCCCATGAAGATATAGCTTGACCTTACTTAGTATGACCCAGAAAAAGAACATGTAATCCCTCTCTCATCCACAGACTATTACATTTTTATCATGGGACTAAGCAGTCTGAAATTTTGTCATTAATTTCAGACTAATTTTTAGACGTAAAGTATATTTCTTTAATAAAAAAAAAAAAATACCCAGGTAGTTTGAAGGACCAGAAGTGTTTGGCATAGACTAAATCTAAACCTCAGTCTTTATATACAAAGTTATTTCTTTGCTTTTAGTGTCCTGTAGTGATCTGAGCATATTCTGAAGTCCTGCTGGGATTGGTCATACTAGGATGAAACAACTTATCTTCACTAAAAACACACCAGAAGGAAATTTTAGTGTTCACATGCCACAGAAATGACACAAAAGCGGGACAGCTATCGTGACATGTGTGACATCAATGTCATACGAGGACACGTACTGTAACACATGCATGTTACAGCCCCTGTGACAGTGATGACAAGCAAGTGTCACAGTTAATAAGGCATTTTAAAGAGATGTGACAGTTTGGAGTGACTGGGAATGACACAAATGTAGCATTGTGACAAAAATGATGAAAGCAATAATATATATTAAATTCTGTATGACATCACTTGCAAATTAGACATGGGTGACCCACAAAACCGAAGACATCTAACCTCTAATTACAAGTCATTTCAAAACCTGATTATTTACATTCTTAAAATTTCAGATTTCAACCCTGGAAAACACACTGGCTATATTGATAACAAGCACATACTGATAGAGCATGCACAAATAGCAAGAGTTGGTGACTGACAATAGGACGATGTAGAAAAACTTCACGGGTAAATTAAATGTCAGGAACCCTGTACATTATAGGTAAACACTAGGTATTAGACTTTTATATAGCAGAAATACATTTTCCCCTTATCAACAATATATACACAGCATATCCAATACCATTCACAGAATTATGGCCCATAAACCAGTTTCGAGTTGTAAGTTCCTAGTCTTATTCCTATTCATTTAAGGGAAAAAGACTGATGATTACCACTTGTGACAGAAAAATTAGACATTCAGCTTAAGTTTTAATTCTTTGTCACTGGTTTGGAATATGATATACCTTGGTGATAAAGGTGAAGCTACTGAAATGGCTTGTTAAATTATTTTTACTATACAAAGGTCTGAGGTACATTTAATGCCTCTACAAGTAGGACCTGTACACCTACCCCTGAGCTGGAAGCCCTGGAAACTGTGGCATGGCCGCTGCAGCAAAGTAATTAGACTTGGAAGGATCTTGTGTGTTAGGCTGAAAAATAATCATTGACAATTTAACTCCAGAGAAAATCCAGTGTGTGTTCTTGTGAACATAAAACACTAGGTACCACCTGCAGAACTTATCAGAAGAAGCTTATTGTAATTATAATTATGTCATAATTTTTAACACCTGACCATCATGGGTATCACAAACAAAAAATAAATTGATTGCAAAATTTCACTTGCAAAAGACTTAATGTTATTCTCCTTTCTTAGACTGACTGTTTTTCTAGGATAAACAAATTTTTATTCCTACCACTTCAGTTTTGTTTTCTTCATTATCAATGGCAGTATCAGTCTTGCTATTGGCACCATGGTGAGACTGTGTCATATCTGGAAAACAACAAATTTTTTCAAATAAATTACTTGTTAAACTACAAAATCATTGACATATCTACAAACATCAACATGCTACTAATACAATATTTTTCTTTAAAACTTTTCCATTAAATAAGAAATATTTTACACACTACAGCACTGTTTCTAAATTTAAAGTATCATGCTAAAATCTCAGCATCTCACATTCAATTTTATTCAAGGCACAATTTAATCAAAGCTTTCTCCAATGATATGAACTGTATCACTGTAGTGCACTGTGATACAAGTCTGAGATTTCTCACCATCTTCACCTTCGCCAGCACCCTCATGTCCAGATGGCACTTCCTCCATCTCTCTAGCTTCACCTCCACCTTGCTCTACATCTTCATCTTCTGCAACTCTACGGATCTTACAAGGAATTCCTTTACGACTCCTGGAACTCTTGGGCTGGTCACTCAACGCAGGGGACGCAGGGGAGTCACTGCTGCTGTCAGTCCCCCTGGATAATTTCTGCATGATTATATTGTCCAGCACCCCTCTTTTTTCTCCATCTTCTACTTTAACCTTGACATTGGCATCACTGTGACCTTCTGACCTTGACCTAAATTCTGGCTGATCTTCTGAACCTGAGCTGGGGGACATATTGCTGTTATTTTTCTCTTCCTGGTTGTTTGTGTTCACCATGCCCATGTGTTTCACCCATGTGCTCTGTAAGGACTTCCAGGAGGTTTGTAAGCACTGTAACTGAGCAAGCACCATAGAAGACTCTGCCTCTGTCAGGAAGCTGAAATCAGCCAGGCCAAGTGACAAGTCTGTCTGACATGACACGGCTGTTACTTGACATGACACACTGGTGACAGCACCTTCAGCTTCTTTCAGTTCATTGGTGGCATTGCTACATTCGTAATCAGGCTCTTCAGTGACTGGAGATTCACTTTTAACTGGGCATTCCTTATTTATTGCTATGCCATGGCCAAAATAAATGCAGTCATTGGAAGAGTTAGCCTGGTGTGCTTGGACTCCTGATATGTGACTCAGCACGTCAGACGGGTTAGCTGCTGAGAAGTCGCAATCCCTGCAGACATACACTGGGCTCTTTGGATGTCCAAACTCTTCTGATACAGGAGACTGGGAAACTAGCATGGACCGAAATGACATGGTCCTTTGTAAGTGTTTATATTTGAGATCTGTAAATAATAAGAAAGAAAAATTTTTACAAAAGTGAATTTTACAACCATGTTTTTATATCATTCATCAAGTATCAATTTGTATTACTTCACTAAAATGGTAAAAAATAAAAGGTGTATGACTTAAAAGTAAATTAAATTGCTTGTACTTGACTTGCCAAGTAGGGAAGGATGTGACCTACATCAATGGACTGTCTTTAAGCCAAAAGACGTATTAAAGCTAGATAAAAAAATACTCAATAAAGAACATAAAAATGACGTGTGGATGATTCATTTTTCTACTGATGATTAGGTGAAAATCCACAATGCTTAGTAATTGAAAAAGACATCATCAGTTTTACATGCAGAGCCATACCACAGGTATCACACATAGAATGAGCACAAACACCTTTAGAATGGTGCACACTTCATACATTTTTGGCTCATGTTAACTATGTAAAACTTTCACCTGATGCTGGTTACAATTAACTTATCAGCTGGTAAGAAACTAAACAATTAAATTAATCAATAATGTTGTGGCAGTTCGTTACTATTCAGAGTAAAAAAATGTTCATATGACAGGTGTATTTCAGACTACATGTACAACCTAATCTAAAAAACTTGCTACAAGATTACTAGTACTTCTCAAGAAATGAAGTAGGGTGCTTTCCCAGAGATTTAGATCGATCTAAAGATTAAGATCGACCTAACTCCCTGGGGGTTCACGCTAAATTGCATTCAGCCGAGCGGGCACCATAGTTAATTACCCCCTTACAGCTTTTAGTAGGCGGGACAGACGCTTAAGCCGGCCAAGCTGACAGTAATCTAGTGAGACTCCCCACAGGGATAGATCGATCTAAAAATCTATGGAAATGGGGTGTTTGAGACCACACTTAATCCAAATATTTTAAAACCTAATAAAATTCAGGTGTTGGTGAATCCAAATTCTAAAATCAACAAAAAACACATGGCTGAGACAGCTGGGGCTTATCTACTGTGTCCACATAACCCAGTGTCTGGCTTCCATACTGATCCACTCCACTCTAAACTGATGTATTTACATATTCACCTGTGTCAGAAAAACAAACAGAGGATTATCTTAACTACAAAGTTTTGAAAAAAGTCCTTAAAGGAAACAGTCTATCTTTTCAAAATATGCAGTTGATTGGCACATTTTTTTAGTCATTAAAACACAAGTCAAAGGTGTTAACTATGAAAAAAGTAAATGACAAACTATAATAAATTTAATAAAATCTAGACTTACAGAAGGAAAAGAAAAGGAAACAAACCAAGACGTAAATCTAGAAGTAAACAAGATTTCCCATTACTAGTATGCTAAAAACTGTTTTTAAGATCAGAGGCTTATTTACATGAAGAAAAAGACATCTGCAATGAGTCTTTTCTCATGTTTATTTCATTATGTGCTGTGCTGTGTCACATTTGGCTATAAAGAGCATAAAGCCTTTGTTCCTCATTATTGTAAACAAATTTGATACCACTGTCTCACAGACTGACATGAAATATTTGAAGGGGAGGTGGTATTTACAATGATGGCAAATTCCATTTGAAAAATAAATGCTCATGCAAAAGCCAGTAGCAGCAGAAAAACACACCTCATTAATATCATTATATTAAAAAAAATGTACTTTGCAACTGGTTATGTGATATTATTGTAATACAGCACTTCTTCTTCACACTCAATATCCAGCTCCAAGGAATGTGCCATTTTAGGATAATTAATATCTGCCTAATGCACTGATTGAATGGCCACCATTAGGTGCACCACCATTAGTGTTAACCACATGACCACTCCCCTCATAACCAACACACACTGTAGAATACTGGATAAACTCTTCTGAATAAACATGTTAAATCAGTGGTAGGCCAATGTATATATATGACTTCTAAAAATGGGCGCAGGAAGAAAAAAGTCAATGATATTTTAGAAGTTTCAATTTCATTTCTTCACACTCTCACTCCATTTTATCCTTGCAAACTTCTCTGTAAAAGGAGGTAAATAAATTCATAATGACATCCTATAAGTATATGGTATTTTCCATTTTTATAACTTTATTCACTATATATAAGGGTCTTAGTCTTGACTTTGTTAAAGCAGAAAATGACTTTTTTATGGCACATTAAATAACATTTTTCATTAGTAATAAATTAATGTCAACCTGCTAAAACAGTTTCTTTGTAAGAATGCATACATCTCCAAGGCTTTTATATAATATATAATGTACTAAAAATCCATACACTATGAAATTGTTTCCAATATGTCTCCTTTGGAATCATAATAATTTCTACGATTTGAGACATAAATGGCACCATATTTTTATTTAGTATTTTGAGTTTTCCTGTGTGGACATACATGAGTGTTCAAAATAGGAAGTTAAACCTGGAACTTTTCTATGACGGATTTGGTTTCGCTTCGCATATGTGAACAAGCAAGAGAATCAAATTTTTTTCAGAGAACTGAAATTTGAAAAATCCAGATTATTTAGATGGCAATGTGAATAGGGTATTATAGATGGTTGCCAAATACATATTATTAACCACAAGAAATGTCAAATAGACCAACCCCTGCTCTTGTTTATACTAAGGCCCACCCATCTGTATACTTAAACTTCTAAGGTGATATATTTGAATCTTTGTCAAATGCCATTCATCTGGCTTCCTGTTACTTGACATTGTAATCAGTCTGTCAAGATATAATATGTACTGAAGTTAAGCTTCTGCAATTGCAAATTTGATCTTAACTAAGTAAGACTGTCCCAACTTTACTGGAAACAGAACTTATACCTAGTAAAAATTGTCCCAACTTAACTGGAAACACAACTGTGCACTAAGTTAAACTGTACCAACATAACTGTAAATGACATATGTAAAGAAAAGCTATCCTATCTCTTCTTGAAACACAACCTTTAACAAAGTTAAATTGTCCAATATTAAGTCAAAACTTTTTATTATACTAAGTAAAATTGTCACAACTTAACTGAGACATTATACTGAATAAAGCTGTCACAACTTTACTGGAAACCATCTGATACTAAGTAAGGCTGTCCCAACTTAACTGGAAACATGACATTAAAGCAAGTAAAGCTGTCACAACTTAACTGGAAATACAATCTTATACTAAGTAAAGCTGCTTCAAGTAAACAAGAAACATAGCTCAAGCTTGATTAGAAAAAAAACGGCTGTAAGTTAAGCTGTCCTAACTTGGCTGGAAAACGCCATATTGAGGTTCCTTTGTTTTGATTAAAATACATTCGGGGTACTACAGTACAGTACTAGTACACTGTCAAGTAGCTGTTCTCAAACAAAGACCTGAGTCAATATGGCCAACATCAGGCATTGGCTGGGATTTATGGGTATTTTCATGTAGCACCTCCAGCAACCCCCAGCGCTCATCATCAACTTTAAGACTTTCAGTTCAATAAATCTCAAATAAAATCCAATCATTTAGCTCACTGTTCTGTTTTCTGTTACTAGTAACTATGAAAAGATAGATAAGTTTTACGAATGGGAAAGATGCCTGAATGGGGAAAATATATGACACTGTATGGGGAACTTAAACAACAGCACCCCATCAATTGACAAACTATTACAGTAGAAGACAATATCAAGTACATCTTGCAACTTCAAAAACAAAGTAACTGTGCTCATTCGGCATAACTCTACAACAATGTGTGGAACAACTACATGGCTCAAATTAATGCCATGGATTATAATGACTAATGCAAATATATATGGTGAACATACCAGCAGAAAGAGTGCCCAGTGCATTTACTTAATTAATGCAAACAGTAACAATGTCATTGCAAACTCTGTTTATCACCAAGTTTATTCAGCCTTCTTCTTTTATCTCTACTAATTCCTTTGGTGAATGAACAAGCATATCCATGTTCCTGGCCTCTACAACACAGAGCTGAATAAACACATGGATAGCATACTTCAGGGCATGTGCACTCAGTTAATCAATTCATAAACAGTAACAATATCATCACAGGGTGAGTTTATTCAGTGGTGTCTTTTAAATCCAAGCCACCACTTGACTAATAAAATACTGTTATTGCAGCTCGAGCATGTTCTGATCACATGCACGCAGGTGATGACCTTTACAGCACTCGCTAACACAACAAGGTCAATGCTGCTATTTACAATAACAACATCACCCAACTGACCAATCAAAGAACAGCATCTGCCAAACCAGACTAATCTAACACTCAATCCCATGTGAAATTCCTAAAGATCCAAGCAGGGAATGAAGAGATAAAGGGCTTTCTTGCATATAAGAAGTTGATGCTTTCTGAGTCATCATTAATACCGGATGAAGTGCTAAAAAACATTTTTTTTTCGTCTTTAAAAAATACTTCTTTATTTAAGTGTTGGTTAAATTTTCCTAACAATTATCTTATCTAAAAGCAAATCTATGTCTTATTGTAAAGATGAAAACGTTAAGAGTGTACCCGCATGACAAAGAAGTCTCGTGCTTTCGACCCGCACGGCACACAAAGAAGCCCCACTAAGAACCATTGTTAATGTTTATATGCTAATGAGACAGCATTAGCAACGTCATAGACTCACAGACAAAGACAGTAAGAGAACCTCATTTCCTCAGCCGATTTCGTTCCTTTTTCCTTCACAAATTTCAGTGTCATTCTATCAGAGGTTACTAAATGTAGTATCCTATGTATTTCGTGAGAAATTCCGACGAACAAATTAGTTAATCGAGTAAAAAGTTGTATATGAACTGAACTCACCTTACAACGTGAGCGCACCACATTGCTGCATTGGAGATAGGCTCTTACGCGCGTGTTATGCCAAAAGTAACTTTTTGACATAGATGAGTCATTTATAACATTTTCAACTTGAATTATTCTTTATTATCAATCAAAGAAGAAACTATTTGATTTTACTCAATTGTATTACGTGTAAAGTCAATATTTGCCTTCAGTGTTAATTATTAGATTTTCTTTGATCAACTTTACACCTGTGGTTTATCTTATTGTACGCATGCTGTTATTTACGGAAGAGCAGCTAGGTCTTTGTAAGAACTTGCTGGTCTCTCAGACATCAGCGCTTGAGGGATGATTTAAGTAATGATTAAATACATATAGGTAGGTTGAAATCTTTACATCTTTATGATCAAACATTTGGTGATCATAGTGAGTTCTACAGGGGTGTAGGAACCCATTGTGCTATTTACTACAAATACTATCGTTATTTAAAAAGTCAAAAATCACCGACTACATTACATATAGCTTCTTAAAGTTGCTTCCATCGCAAGAGCATAAACATTAGTTCCATTTGGTGGACGGTCAAACCCAACAATATGATGTCAAGAAGCCACTGCTGATAAAAGAATGTATAAATTGTTGGATAGGTGGAATTCGCTCTTTCTGTTATCATGATTCTCTCTCTCTCACACACACACATGGTAACAAGCATTTCACTAACATGAGATATGAACCAAGTTCACACTAAGGTCCATGTTGGACTTGATTGTGCTCATTAACAATATTATAACTGCCAGGTGAGACCCTGGGCCGTGTGTCATAATAACCCTCCTGTAAAAGGGTCTTTATGATGATCACCGATTGTTATTGTAAAATGGTAGCTTATCACAAATAATCATGCTTCACAGGCCTGGTGACAGTCATTCAAAGTAGGGTGTTGTTTTCCTGAAAAAAGATGTCTTTTCTTTTCCTTCCTACATTATGTACTGGTAGTTGAAGCTCTGGCACAAATATAAAATTGTTATGTTGATAGTTTATTTCAGGCAGTTGAAGAAAACATTTGCCTTGAAATATTTCACTTAGTTAACAAGAATGTCTGTGCTAGCAGTTTATCAGTTTATTCAAGAGAAGGAAAGTGAGGCAAATTGCTTCCAGCAATATATGCTTGAGTCTCCTTAAAGAAATAAAAGAAAAATATAAATTATATATAAGCTGGTACGTACAAACAAGGGAAATGTAAAAAAGAAATGGAACAGTCATAACTGAATGAACAGAATGCTAATTAAAAACTAATTAGATTGATGAATGAAGGGAGAAAAATATATAGATAATTTTACTAGTATTTATCAACAGAATCAAAGAATAATTTAAAGTAGATTAAATAATTTTTGTTAAAACTGGGACTGTTTTGCAGTTGTTTTGGAGGTATATAGGTATACTAACTACTAACATGGATCATTCCAACAGTATAAGATTCAGTTTCATGTTAATAATATTTTCGCTTAATTTATTGACTAATTGTTCTCATAATAAAACTCTCATTTCACATATATATATATATATATTTTATCTACTCTTGGGTTGTTTAGTAATCGGTTAATGTGGTAGGAATTTTGGGTCATGATAATTGATGATTATGTTATAATCATTGAAAGTTTCATCAAACAGCACCTAATTAAAACTCAGCATTATTTTAGCTGCAATATTTCAGTGCCTAACAAGACAGCTTCATTAGAGTTAGGTATTATATTGTAACCTCAGGTGTTATTATAGCTTCTGTCTTTAATTGCTTAACACTGTTTTATTGGAGCAAAAATAAGTTTCAGTTAAGTTTTTCTCTGAAGGAACTGTTAATGTTTATCTGAATGCATAACATGGTAATTTATTACCTTTGGTGTTATTGTTATTTCTGCTATAATGGCAAAACTCCACCAGTTCCCCACCTCTACCTACGAGAAACACCTGTAGCCAGGCATTAAGCTGGGCAGTGTAGACATGGTATGGACACTAATTACCAATTATACACANTTTTTTTTTTTTTTTTTATCTACTCTTGGGTTGTTTAGTAATCGGTTAATGTGGTAGGAAGTTTGGGTCATGATAATTGATGATAATGTTATAATCATTGAAAGTTTCATCAAACAGCACCTAATTAAAACTCAGCATTATTTTAGCTGCAATATTTCAGTGCCTAACAAGACAGCTTCATTAGAGTTAGGTATTATATTGTAACCTCAGGTGTTATTATAGCTTCTGTCTTTAATTGCTTAACACTGTTTTATTGGAGCAAAAATAAGTTTCAGTTAAGTTTTTCTCTGAAGAAACTGTTAATGTTTATCTGAATGCATAACATGGTAATTTATTACCTTTGATGTTATGTTATTTCTGCCATAATGGCAAAACTCCACCAGTTTCCTACCTCTACCTACCAGAAACACCTGTAGCCAGGCATTAAGCTGGGCAGTGTAGACATGGTATGGACACTAATTACCAATTATACACAGTAGCAGATTGTGTACAATACAGATGATGACAGCTGTGAAATGGCTGTATTTTGATGAAAAGTTAGATCATTCCTTTGAAACCATAAACTTGAAGATTTCTTCTTTATCCCTCTCCCAAGTGTCAACCAAAACACCTCCCTTTTCCTTTTATCTGTGCACTGACCCAGTAAATTGTCTGTGACTGTTATCCTTTATTCAACAATGTTTTTGAAGTATGGTGTACTATTTATTTGAATGGGTTAACTTGAAAATTTTACTTTTTATTTATTTTTATTTTTTGACAGCCATTGTCAGTCATATATGTGTAGGTCCCATATTATACTTAGTTTTACCATTGTTAGACCAGAAAATAACTGTTCCCATAAAAAAATTATTTGTGACTCATGTTTGTATGGCAGACATTCATGTTTATTTGAGTTACAAGTACATTGATTGATTATCTTACCAGTAGTATTGCACTGTGGGTCGGAATAGATGGGCAACAAATGATTTCTTTTAAGTACAAGAACCCAAGATCACTGTAGTCCTTTTATTGTAGCATGGTAATTCTAGAAGGAGGAAAAAAAGTGTTTACTGGCTTTACTGCTGATTCGTCTTAAAGCTGACATGTCTGTGGCATTGTTAGTGACACCTTTTGTATTGACACATGTCACTTAGTGTCAGGAGTGACTCAGCCAGATAGCTTTCCTTTATCCCCATTTCTGGGCCATAATGGTCTCTTAACCAGGACATTTACCTGGATATCTAATTAGGCTGCCCAGGCAAGGTATTAGTTATCCCCATGGGGGGCCAAGTAATTTAGTCATGTTACAGAACACCTGGACAGGTGATAAGTGTCATGAATGCATTATGGCATTAAATAATGTGCCCACATAACAATACCTGTGCTAAAGCCCCAGATTTATTATTGGCTGCCATCGTTACTGGCTCAGCTGCCAGGCTGCAGAACCAGATCTGTAGATCTGATATCACTGTGGAGTTCCACTCTATACAATGTCACCCAGGACCAATTAATACAGGGGAGACAGGTTAGTGTCACTGTGGCACTGGTGACAAACATTTTTGATTGCTCTTAAATGCCACCAGGGGGGCTTGCTAGTACATAAAAGCTGTGGCCCTGGGTCTGAGCTATCATTTGTAGACATCTCCTTCAGAGAGATCTGTACACTCAAAAATAGCAGGAGCTGAAGTTCATGTGAAATAGGCAAAACTTATAGACACTGGATTTGTTACCTAGGATAATACTTGGATAAGGTACTAGTAAGCCATATTAAGTCATCTGACTTGAGCTGTGACATCAAGGAAAGCATTGGATTTATTATCAGGCAGTGATAGATTCATATCCAGGTTGTAGATCAAGTTACTCAAAACTATAAAAAAACCAGAGACTTTGAAGGTTTTACTGAACAACAGGGATAGGATCCACAATTGATGAAGCATCGACTTTCAGTGTACTTGAACAGTGTCATGTATCTTTTGTGATTAACTGAGTGTCTGAGATTTAGAACTAGAGCAGCAGATTTTCCAGGACAGCATTATCCTTTGGCTTTATAGTTAGGTGAGTATTATGTGCCACATTACATATTTTCCTTTAATTAGGTAGGAATCAGGAAGAGAGTTATGTGAATTATAACCACCCATATTTAGCCATATGATGTGTAGAATATAATTATGACTCAGTTAGGGCTAGGTACTTGTATGTACTAGTAGTATGTGTTCTTTGTTTAAACCCATTTTGGAGATATTAAAATTAAGTACTAGTAGGCTCTATAGAATCATAAGTGGAAGTTATATTATTACTAGTATCCGATTTTTGATTGATATTTGCTCTTACTAGAACTAGCATTGCATATAGATGTTTTAATTTCAAGGAGTCAAGGTTCATTTCCATCTTAATGCCAAGGTGTTCTATTGGCATTTAAAGATTTATCAGTAAAGGAATGTCTTACATTACACAGGTGAAGTAGTGTTTAGAACAGGAGATTCCATCCAAAACTGTTTAAATAAATGTCTATTTTTGGCTTTAATAACTACAAATATTTTGAATGACAATTTATTTACACCCCCATACAAATCTTAATAGTAACCATTAATTGATAGTAACAATTAAAGAGGTTAATTCCAATGTTTTGAAAAGATAGCTGGCTT